ATGGTTTCTGGGTTCCCTTCCTGAATGGCGCCCTTCGAAAGCTAGACAACTTGCGATAGCTTTTAGCAGCAGATGCGGATATGTCTTCCTATGAACAAGTGGTTTTGTTATTGGGATTTTTCGTTCCTCACCGTTTCTATTGAGCGTGTGTGGTGGCTGTGACTGGTTACAATCTTCTTGGAGTCCTGGACACTGTTTGTGGGCTTCCATGTCGCGCAGGATTCGTGAGTCGACTAGTGCAGTTGCATCTATGTGACGTTGCAAATTGTCCAGTTTCATAGATACTCTCGTTTCTCGCTGCGGCCATGGACATGACCAGACTAGAGCTGCAGAGAGGCGACCTTTTCGGAGTTACTTGTCCAAAAGGCGAGACCTCAGTGTCCGAGTATGGATTGTGATGCGGTCCAAATGTCGGTTCCCAGAGTAGGTCGACCTCTGACCCTCACGAAGAGTGAGACGTGTATTAGGTTACGAGGTTAACTGTTGCCGGCGTCCAGACATACGTCTGTTAGCGAGGATGGTGAGCATGATTCTAAGCTCACCTCGGGACTGGTCGAGGCGCAGTCGTGTCCAAGCCCGAGAGTACAGGAGGAAAAACGGAATCAATCGTGACACTGGCGCCGTTTTCCAATGTAAATTTGGGTTTTTGCCGCTTCTGTGGTTCCTTAACCCGGGCTTCTGTGCCTTGTGCAGGATCGGGGGCCGCGACGTGGTTGAGGGGCTGCTCGACCTACTCTTGACCGGCTACAAAGTTGCAGACAGTGTCAACGTGGGCCCGGTCGACGCCGCCGGCGCATCCACGGGGTGCTTCTTCACGCTGCACGAGGCCATGCGCTCGGGCATCCTCTACTATCAGCGCCACAGCGCCAAGGCGCCGCGCTTCTCTCTCGTCGCGCCTGCGCTGCAACTGTGCAGGTATGTGGAACTGAAAGCTGGGCTTTTGGATAGAGGCTTTCGTTGTCTCAGACTTGCGGCATCAGCCTTGGCCGACACTTCGAGAGTTGAAGTTGCATCTCGCTGACGGACAATCCGAGAGTCTCTCGGCCGTTCTGCTGTTTTGCGTGCTTGTAGACACATTAGCTCTTCGATCAAGCGGTCTGTAATGATTTGTACATTGTTGGTGCCCGAAGGGTGTGGATACGACTGTCTCGTGAGCTGGATGTTCTGTGGACTGTCCTCTTGATGGCGTTCCTGAGTCTACATAAATATGGCACCTGATTGTCGCTCCCTTTGGTCTAGCAGAGACTAGTTGTGCAAGGAATCTGGTTGACAGTGTGGTTGTGGAGCTCTTATAAATCAGGGCATTTCTCTTCAAAATCGACGAGGTGCAGTTCTTCATCTGGGCACACATTCGCCATTGCGGAAAAAACTGGTCATGTGTCATGTATTGCTTCGGTTGTAAGCATCCGCATTTGGAGTCTCGGTTGGAGTTCCGGTTCATCGCCATTGTTCGTGAACAACAAATCTATGCTCGCCGCTGGCATGGAAAAGCCAGTCAAGAGCTTCCCTGGTGGCTCTCGTGCCACGGCTGGGCATGAATTAAAGCAAGTGAAAACCTGCCTCTGTCAGTCTAATTACTTGACTAACTGTCAGTCTACTCAAACTTGACTAACTTCTGCTGGTGCTGACCAAATCGTCAAGGCAGCCTACAGAACGGTTTACCATTCTGAAGCAGCTTTTGACGGATACTGGGACCCATCGGCCCATCACACGGAGGTGCTATTAGTACGATCGTGTTTTGGAACCACGTTATCTTTCCAGGTTGTTGGCGGACTTGAACGATTGATTTGTGTGAAACACGTTGTCTCTTCAAGTTGGTAGCGGAGGTGAATTACCCCCTCCCCCTCACAGCGTACGAGTTCCCCGCCTCGGGCCCCATTGACCCGGCGCACTTCGAGCACGTCATAGCGCAGCGCGAGAGCGCACTCGCCAATGTCGTTTCACGTTATGGCAACGGAACGGTGAGCCTGCGGGAAGCCTTTGGGGACGCGGCGTACATGAACGATGAGCTGAAGAGAGCCCGGATGCGGATGCTGCATCGGAAGCCGTTGGTGCTGCGCGAGGCGGTTCCCTTTTTTAAGACATCGGAAAAGCGGAGGTAAAGAAGCTTGCTTCATAATTGCTGCATACTTTTTCGTGTGTTGATTCAGATTCAGGAGAAGAAAGAGGGTTCTGATGGAAATGTACGATTGATTTGGATGGAAAGTAGAACTATCTTGTAGTGAAATACATTCTTACCATGGTGATGCTTGGATTGTCTTCATTTGAATTAGTCTGATGTGCTTACATTGGCAACTGCTTCGCATTCAGGAGTCACTTGCTGATTGTTTTTGAGGGAGAGTCGGTCATCGACACCCATTTGACGGGCTCTGGTTGTGTTACGTTCCTTTTTTTAAATTGCCGTTCTGAATTTCTCAAGGGTCTCTCTGACGGTTGGACGCTTTCGAGATCGAAGGGAAGTCTTAAAGAGACAGGATTTCTGGCCGGAAGGTTTTCATTGCTGTCCCCCTGCCTGACCACTGCAGGCTGTCGCGTACTTTTATTGCAATTTCGCCACCATGGCGTACTGTGCTGCAGAGTGATTGGGCCGCAAATATTTGATGGTTTCAGGTGCTGTTTCTGAATATCGGCCCCGGTTTGCAAATAGATGCTGGTGGGCGTTATTTTTTTTCCTTTGGTTTCAAAGTTGATGTTTTTCCCATTTACCAGAGTCGGGTTAACAGATTCAGCTTGCCAAATTTGAGTTGCCGACTGATTGGGCTCTGGTCCATTGGATCTTTCCAATAAAGTGGAATCGCAGAGGGATGTGACAATGCTTCTATAGTGGGAGTTCCGACACCAGTACTCAATGGTGTCCTGTGCTTATGCAGCGGAGAGGAGAACCCCGGTCGTCACCAGAAGGCCGTTGTCAAGCACGAGGTGGCGGTCGCTGGTTTGGCTACGCTCATCGACATCCGCGGTGGTTCCTGCATTCTGCTCTGTGACGGAGCAAACAAGCTGCCGTGCCCGCACCTGGACGTGAGGTACGTGAGGGGCGATCCAAGCGGGCCGAAAGAGTTCCTTTTCAGTGTCTATGCGAAGCGGCTCCTAACGGCAACGATGCTGGGGTTGAAATTCGTCCAAAGCTGGTACGAAGGCGTAAAGAAGCAGATGGTCCTTTACGAAAAGGAGTACCGGGTCATCTACGTCATCATTGCTTCTTGCGACTTTCACGACAAAGTGAAGGACTTCGTCAAGTCGCAGAACGACCTCGTGATCGTGGATAAGAACGGGCTGGCGAGCTATCTCCCGATTGTCGGCCAACGATCTGTCCTTCTGAAATACGAGTTTGAAGCGTAGTGCAGGGCTATGGGAGACGGCAGCGCTGAGGTTTTAGACAACTACATCGAGGACGAATACGTATATGGAGAACTGCATCAGCCAGGAAAGGGGAGACATGTGCACAATACACGAGCATCTCAATAACACATTGACGACGACTTCTTTGTGTGAGAATTTGTAAGCAGGGAGTGGACCAAGAATTGTTCTGGGGCCTTGAACGCCGTTGTCCGTTTCAAGTTTGTCACTCTTCATTAGGCAATGCATTTGTGCGAAAGCGATCAGCTTGTTCTGGGTCTTTTCGAATGTGCGAATGAGAATGAGACGACAATTGAACATTACCTCCACATTGAGGTGCTCGATCGGTACATTTTTTCCCTTGCTCGACGATGACACACAAAGAATTCTGTCAAGCAGCATGTAAGCCTTGCAGGATTACATGCATATCAGAGTGGCACTTAGTGCTATTTTATACTGAGACATACGGACAACGATTGAATGTATCAATCAAGCCTTCATGCAAGGCCGTCGATCCTTGCACATGGGGGCAACAGGTCAACGAACGGCCGAGATGGTATGTGTATGTTTGGCGGCCGCTTAAAATTGGTGTGTTTAGTATAGATCCATATAGAGCCAGGCATTGCCATTCAGGACGCCAGCCCGCGATCTACTGATATGGGCCGCATGCTGTGAATTATATATGATCAATCAATATGTACATGCATATCCATTGAGATATATACAGCGGGTATCAATGAGTCATGAGCATTCGCAATATATGTAGTTAGACTCATGATCAGGTGTCGCCGCCGCCGCTTCATGTGTGGTCGCGGTTGCTGTTGCGAAAGAACATCTGGGCGCTAGATCATATCGGCGCCACAACATGTCATTTACATCACTCTGATGGGCCGAATCCGGAGTGGCTGCGTCGCAATGATCTAGCGCGATCGCGAGGCATGTAGTAGAGCGTTTCTTGAGTGCCAGTGAATGAGAACATAATTGGGGATACAAGTACTACCACGCCCACATCACTAGCATGGATCGAGGGGAACTCACTTACATTGGCCATCGTTTAGGTTGCACAAGTTTTTTGGCCGCCATATCTATCTCATCCCTTACTACATTGAATAGAGCAAAGGATGCCCAAGTTGCATCTTTGCCCGGCTCAACTCACCTATGCACTTTGAACCTGAAGCACTACTCAACATCATCTACACAATTGTTTGAAACTACTTGAATGGTTACAACCAAATATTGTCTCCCATCTGATTGCGACACGAACTGAATCAAAATGGGATCGAAACGCGACACCATCGGGCGTTCACGACAGCTGGAGTCGCGACAAACCATCTCGGCGCCAAATCATGTCGGCACCACAGCATGTCACTTGCATGGTGAGTACCGAGCGCACGATTCTACCGTATCCCGAAATACGCGGAAGCCCACAATATCTACGTACTAGAGTCGTCGATACTAAATCTACTAAGTACTCTAGCAAACTCCGGCTGCGCGGATTGTACCGACGGTACGGAAGTCCCGGTAGTCCGTGTCAGCTTCATCGTGACCGTAGACTCGGGCCCCACCATTTCGGAATCTTCGTTGAAATCCTCGATCGACTGGCGGCCGCTGCGCCGCCCACTGCGCTCGCTAGCCCGCTCGCGTGTACCGGCCACCCGGTGGTGGGCCCGGCGTTTCCGGTGGGGGTCCCAAGGCAATACAGATGCCGCAAGGTTTTTGATAATGAGGAAATGTGCTATAAAGAATTGAAAGGTCGCATTGCTAATAGGACCTAGGTACCGTGTGCAATCCACCACCTCACAGGCGCAACGCAGAATCTGCATTTTCGACTTCCTCATAGCTCATTGGCTCCATCAGTCTCTGCGGTTCCGGGTTGCGATCGGTATATCGGACGGCCGGGAACTTCAGCGACATATCTAATGACGTCAGAATGACCACCAGCTAGCAATGGCTGCCGAGCTGAACCATCTCCTCGTTGGAAGCATGGTGCTGTTTGCAGCGGCGCTCCTCATACAATGCAACCTACATGCAGTTGGAGCTTTGAACTTTGTAATGAATCCATACAGCAAGCTGCTTGTGATTTTATAAGACCAGAAAATGACTTCTACCTCTTGTATCAAGGCCCGCTGCAAAGTATGGCGTATGGTTTCGAAGGCTCAAGGAGCTCTCCATTCACAAGCCTTCTGCGAAGCTGCAATTAGCCCAACAAGCAGTTTGCGTGGTTCTATGAGCTCAAAGCAGAAGAAACAAGAACATTCATTCATGGGGAACCTCTTTTGAGCTGCAGCGATGCGTGCCGCAGGCCTGCCTAGGGCAAAGGTGCCTCGCTAGATGGCAGCCATGAGCCTCCTCAAACTGATGACAGGCTTGGAGTTAGTTGAAGATTACAGCCAAGTCTGCGTATGGTCTACATATTTGGATTACGCACCTTCTCTTCCAATTTTGACACTACAATCGGGCGGCGCTGGGTCCAGGTCCTTTCATCGTACGGTTGTGCTATGAGTTTCGGAGTTGCGCCATGCAAAGCTAGATTCGGCGTTCCGTCTGTCAATACAAGGCAATGCCACGCGTGACGGCGTTTGCTGGCATTAAAGGGGAGTTTGATTACGCGTAATCACCGGACGCGAAATGTGAAGCGGCAGCCGTCGGTAACAGTCCGTCAAATCGCGAACCGTCGATCATAGAACCGCCAAAAACAATCAACGGTTCATCCGCGGGCTTTGAGTCTAGCGACCGGTTGGAGGCTTCAGGCAACGGCGTACGGTCACATGTGTTTTTAGCTGAGTCCTGGTGGAAAGCACAGCTAAACAACATATTGCTGTGGAAGTCAGAGGACTTGCGCCGCATAGCGCCGGAATGTCCGGGGCGTACAACTCGGACATCCCTAAAATCAAGAAAACTCAATCCGATACCGTAACGAGTTCACCTCAAAGGAAAGCACTGTGAATCTATGTGCGCCGCTCTGCGGGGCACACAAAAAGGACGCCAAAGGAACCTGTTTTGCCGTGAATCGACCCTGACTTTGGGATTGCGGCAATGCGCTCTGCCACTACGCCAAGCCCCGATCCCCCGAGCACAATCCTGTCTTGTCAAAAGGGGTCTAATAATATAGGGGCACGCCCTGTTTAAAGTGGGCGTAGGCGGCAGGCCATGCATGGACACTTCAGGCGGACGGCAAGATTAGGACTCCAGAACTTTCATTGGACGGCTAAGGGCTTGATTTGTTTGACCCCATACAAGACCTTTCGAGGACCAGCGCACTGCGGTACCGACCGAAGCTGGGCATCCGAGCAGGGACCGGAGGCTGTCCCGAGGTACGGTACCATTGGGTACCGCGGTTCCCTAGTGTGACGTCGTCCTACCCGGGGTACGTAAGCGTAAAATGGTCATCAAAAGGATGGGGCAAAAGAGTCACTAATCTTCGGATTCGAGCCCTGGCCCACCCGGGCCTGTTGGTTTTAAGGCGAGCGCGCTTGCCACTTCGGCAAGGGGCACAAAGAAGCCAAACATTTTTCGGAACCGCACGGGAGTCGCCGTTTGTCCTAGAAGAGGTGGGTACCGCGCAAGATTGATTTCAAGTACCGTTGCAAGCTAGTGGACTGCGCGCCGATTGGCGCATCGCGCAGCCGTCTCATCGGACGGTCGTGCTTCGATAGACTTGAAGCACAACTTCGAAAAAATGCGCAGCTCCTTCCTTCTTTCTTGACGAAGCTTAGAGGACTGAGCTTTTTCCGAGGCGCTCGGGCGCCATTGTTTTTTTGTTCCCACCCGAACCCACCCTATAATTCATTCTTTCAACAGTCATGGCAATCAAAATGCTGAAGACTATCATCCTTTATCACCTACCACTCAGCTCTCGCCCAGCGGCTGGTCTCTGCCTCCCATTGGCCACTCTCTCCAGGACTCTGCCCACATGGCAACGCACCACTGTCTGGCATCTCCGCCTGGTAGCACAGGATTCCAAGCCACTGCTTGCGATGTAGACCACAAATTAACCTGCGATGGTAAATCGATACCATCCATAAACAGCCATATTCACCTGGCGCACCCTACATCCTCCGGAAAGTGAAGCTTCATACAGCTTCCCCGCAAACGCATTCACCTTATAAGGTGACCAACACCTGCCATATTCACCCGGCGCCACATTGGCCACGCTCAAAACACCTGAGCGCCGCCACCCGAAGAACAGCCGTATTCACCCGGCGCCACGTTTGGCTCACCTTGGAAGCCTCTGAGCAAGCAGCTCAACTTTCGCCGTATTCACCCGGCGGCCGCCGCCTATCCCGGCCAAAACGGTTTTGCCTGCGCGCGCACTCGCGTCTTCCCTTTGACCCAGTTCAGCTGACATCAGCTCAGTCGGCTACCCGGTCCCTCGCACTGCGCTGGTACCGTACCGCTCGTATGGAACGAACCCTCACTTCGAGCGGTGCCTAAAGTGCCAGTGCCTGCAAATGTAGGTAGGCCACCCATCAGAATGCGGGCGAGCGTGCTACCTGACGCCTTTGAAAGTGCATCTAGCTGGAAAAATGGCGCCAAGCTCCTCTCTGTGGTCGGCTCCGTACAATGCCACCGTCAAGGCGGGGTTACAGGCCCTGGAAGCCAACTGGCTGCCCGATGTTCTCCTGCGACAGGCGATCCGTTTCTTGTTCGGCCTGCGCTTCAAGATCAGCAAGAGGGAGACATGCGAGGAGCAGTTGGCGGATCTGATGAAGTTTGTGGCAGGCAAGTCTGAATTCTTGCAAGTTTTCACCCCTGTCCTTCCAGAGAATGTTGCTCTGCTTTGGGGATTGCAATGGAAGGAGTCAAAGTGGTGTACGACTTTGTGCTGACCAGAATGTGTAGCATGTCCCTGAGATCTGTGCAGATGGTGACTCTGGTTCCTCATTCGGCTCTCGCAGACATAATGCTGTTATCAATAGTTGACTGTTTAGTAGTGTGTTGCCTCAGGGCCCCTAAATGTCTTACTTGTCACAGCGATTCCTCGGGTCTGCTATCAACCGTGTTTGTCAAAGTGCTGGGATTTGGCGCTGCACGTAAAAGCTTCCTGATAACAAGTGGTCACCCTGCAAGTGGTCGCCATATTGGTGCGACCACCATGGCAGAAAACGTTGGGAACATTGTTGGATCCCTGGTGGTCTATACAGCTGTTGAGACTCCTTTCAGCCCGGACAAACACATTCGACCTCAGTTTTGTCCCCCCTCATAAATTATCCTTTCAATAGTGTCCTGTCACCACTGTTAGGTGGAACTGGCTTCGTCTCTGATGGAGAGGTGGTGCTTGATATATGGCTCTGGGAATGCAAGGTAAAACTGTGAGATCATTGAAAGTGATCTATCTTCTACAGTCGACTTGCGTATCGCTTAGGAAGATCAGCGATGCCGAGAATTCAGAATGACACCCCCAGTATCTCTTGCCAAGAACAACCCATAGCGTCAGTTTGCTGTCAGTGTGTCTGATTGTGTATATGGTGAGAGAACTTTTTGTTTGATTGTCAGATTATTTTCTACCGGCCTTCTTCGCATATGTCCTCACTTTTCTGCCGTTCTTCTAAAGCTGGTGACTTAGGTCAAGCTCAAGCCCGCTTGCGAGATCAGCCTGCACGTTAGCAGCCTGCTTACTTCCCTGTTGAAGACTGATATCTTGCCAGAACGAGTTTGAGCCTGGTATAACTTCCAACTTTGAATGGTACGCCAATAAATATGTCAGGGAAACCAATTTTCATGAACGTAGAACTTCTCCTACACGAGTTTGCACTGCTCTGCCGGCAAGGGCAGGGGCAGATGATAAAAAGTATGCGGGGCACAGAATTAGGATTGCTTAGAGTACAGCATGAAATCAAGTTGCGATGTCTGTCTTTCGACATTTAAAGATGGACGCACCAGATTTGGTGGGCTTAGAGGCTTGTGCCTTTTTTGGCCCAAACCCTTCGTGGAACCCTGTCCTAATCTGACCTGGCTGCCCGTGCGGATTTCTTGCAAATTGAGGTTGTTATGTGAAGATTGAATGGCTGCAACACGATTTCGGCCATTGTAAACCTCTGCAATTGCCTCTTCAAGGCTCGATACTTGAGTCGGTTCTAAGAAACATGTCTGTGTATTCGTGCAGGTCTGAAGAAGATGCCCGTCGCTGTGAACACGAAGGAAGCCAACGAGCAGCACTACGAGGTACCGACTGAATTCTACAAGCTCTGCCTCGGGAAGCAGCTCAAGTACAGGTGAGCGTTCAGTTCTCAGTGTTACGGACTGAGCTTAAAAGCACGAGAGTTGTCAAATCATCTTCTCTCCTTTGGCATTGATTCTTGTTAAGCGCTTGACGCTGCAATGCATCTGAAATAATTCATCTGTCTCGCTTCGATGATCGTGAGGTGCTGTCTTGAGCACATCCTGTTTCTGCAATCAACTTGCAGAGCGGCTTTCTACTCGCATGCTGGTGGAAACCCCTGAAGCCCTTCTTAGGAACAGTCCTGCCAATCGCTAACAAAGAGATGGCAAAGAAAGGTCGGGAGATTTTTCTGCTGACGTGGCAGGTTCTTGTTTTGGCTACTGACTCTCTTTCTGGGCCTTTGGCAGTTTATTGAGCGGGTGAAGCAGCGCCACGCTGACGCTTTTACTCTTTGGTCGGCGCGCAAGCTCAAATCCGCTGCGGTTTTCTCTGCAGCTCGTGTTACTTCCCGACGCCGAAGTCCACGCTAGACGAGGCAGAAGAGGCCATGTTGCAAATGTACGGAGAACGGGTGCGACTAGATAACGGGCTCGACATTCTGGAGCTGGGTTGCGGGTGGGGGTCGCTCAGTCTGTGGATGGCGGCACATTACCCGGGGAGCAGGGTCACCGCAGTTTCCAACTCGACGACGCAGAAGGACTACATAGACGGGGAGGCGAAGTGAGTGGCGCGAGTTGCCGGGCGTTTGCTCACGTGTGCTCCTGTATCTTGTGATGGATTTGGAGGCCATCGGAAGAGGACGAAGCGGAGAATGTGATGCTTGTGTAGAAAAACTGCACTCCGGGGACTGAACCTGGGTTTGGGTACCTGCTCGTTATCCGGACTGGTTGGCATGCCGGTATATCAATTGATCTAAGAAGAGAAGTTGCAGATTGCAGAATTTGTAGAATGGTACCGTTCTGTCGGCTGAAGCGGAAAAGCCGAATGGAATCGTTGCCTGAACACTTCTTCTGACCACTTCTACAACCTACACTTGCACTGCATCTTTCAGAGCGCACAACAGGGTCGATCCGACCCAAACTTTTGCTCTGCTTATTTTTGCACTCAACATCCGTTTCCAGACTTCGTCGCTCCGTTAAGAGATGAATGAGAGCTGATATTTCGCTAAATGGCTGCAGGAAGAGGGGCCTAAAGAACCTTACGATACTCACGTGCGACATGAACGTATTTGATGCGCCCGGGACGTACGACCGGGTAGTGTCCATCGAGATGTTCGAGGTGAGCCGTTTACGATTTGTCGGTATTTCTCCCACTCCCTTACACCCTTTTTCCATATCGGCCGTGAAAAGCGGAGCTCGGATGCTCTTTTGAAGTGATCTCTGAACCTCGCTCGGTTTTGATATTTTACGAACTTCTGAACTTGCTCTGTTGAATTCTACCCCTCAGCGTCAACGCTGATCATATATTGATGGCCCAGCTGCCCGTTGGGTTTTGTCCACTCTCTTCTAAGATGCCGCATCTGCTGAGTTGCAATATCCGCTGCTTAGTCTGGACTGTTTGAACTGCATTGCCTGGCGCGTATTGCAGAACCACTTTCTGCAAGTCTTTCAGGCTAAGCATACTTTGCTCGGATTCACCTATCCACACGTTTCGTCATTTCCTGGCCGGCAACAAGAGTCCTGATGAAGACAACTGCAAAGCTTGGGCCGTTCGATGAACCGAGCTTAACCATCGGACAGTTGACTGCAGAACGTGGGCCGTTCGATGGACCAAGCTTAACCATCGGACGGCTGACCGCAAAATTTGGGCCGTTCGATGGACCAATTGTTAACTATCGGACGGCTGACCGCAAAACTTGGGCCGTCCGACAGACCAAGCTTAACCATTGGACGGGTCAGATCTTAAAGTGTCGCAAAGAATGAGTCCGGTTAACGGCCGACTTTGGACAAATGTAACATCGTCACACTGACCGGAATCTGATTCTCCCGCAGCACATGAAGAACTATCAGGAGCTGCTCAGGAGGGTTGCCACGTGGCTCAAGCCGGAGGGCCTGTGCTTCATCCACATCTTCACGCACCTCTACTTCGCGTACCACTTCGAGGTGCGCAAGTTGTCCTTTTCTTGCCCTAATTAGTGCTTCATCTATGTTCTTATGCACCTCTACTTTGCGTATCTCTTTGAGGTGCGCAAGTTGTCTTGATACTACTTCAAAAAGTGGATTATCCACATCTTCACGCATCTTTACTTCGCATAGGGTATACCACTTCGAGGTGCGGGGGTGTCTCCGCTTCTTTCGTTCTCTGTTTTTTGCTGCCAAAGGGTGGAGATTGGCGGTAGCATGGCGAGTTGAATGCACGAACCGATTCTGTGCTGCTGGACTTAGGCCGCAAATGCAGCGACGACGACTGGATGGCGCGGAATTTGTTTACGGGTACTGCATTCATGATTTGATGTTGAACTCAACGGCTGCTTTGATTGTCTAGGATTAAGTTTTGACGTGGAATGCAGGATATCGACGAAGATAAGTGGCTTGCGCCCGAGGTTTTCACGGGGTGCCACATCGTTGTTTCGACGTCTAACTTCACGGCTGCTCTTTTTGTCTGAGGTCAAGTTTTGATGCCGAAGGCAGGATTGTAGCGATGCAGACTGGATGGCGCGCAATTCCACCATCTATAAATGAACGTCGATTACTACGACTGCTTTAGTCGTTGTATACAACGTTCGACGGCGAACCGCAGACAACGGCGATGAAGACTGGTTGGCCCGTGTTTTCTTCACGGGTTGCCACATCATTGTTTCGACGTCAGAAGTGATGACTACTTTGACTTGTCTGACTAATTTTCGACGTTGAACGCAGGATAACGGCGACGACGACTTCTTTCAGCGCAACTTTCTCTATGGGGGGCACCTTCACCTTTTCGACGTCGAAAGCCTGGGCCGCTTTAGTTGTCTGAAACCAAGTTCCGACGTCGAATGCAGGATAACGGCGACGACGACTGGATGGCGCGTAATTTCTTGTCGGGTGCTTTATCGACAAATCTCGATATCGAAACCTACTGGTGCCTGTACTCACTGCAAATCAAGTTTCGACGTCGAATGCAGGATAATGGCGACGACGACTGGATGGCGCGCAACTTCTTCACGGGAAGCACCCTCACCCTCTCGACATCGAAATTCTGGGCGCTATCAGTAGCCTTGAGATCAAATTTCGATGTCGAATGCAGGATAACGGCGACGACGACTGGATGGCGCGCAACTTCTTCACAAGGTGCCACATCACTGTTTCGACAACAACCCTCGCAGCGGCTCTAATCCTTCTAAACCGTACTTTCGACGTCGAATGCAGGATAACGGCGACGACGACTGGATGGCGCGCAACTTTTTCACGGGGGGCACCTTCACCCTTTCGACGTCGATATTGTGGGCCGCTTTAAATGTCCGAAACCGACTTTTGATGTTGAATGCAGGATAATGGTGACGAGGACTGGATGGCGCGCAACTTCTTCACGGGGGGCACGTACACCCTTTCGACGTCGAAATCCTGGGCCGCTTTAGTTGCCTGAATCCGAGTTTCGACTTCGAATGCAGGATAACGGCGACGACGACTGGATGGCGCGCCACTTCTTCACGGGGGGCACCATGAACTCGGACGACACGCTGCTCTACTTCCAGGACGACCTCTCCATCGCGGACCACTGGCGGGTCAACGGCACGCACTACGGACGAACCAGGTAGGGTTAAGCGGAGAGGTTATAGTTTGCTTGGTTATCAATTGATATCGCATGGAGGTTAACCAAGAACAGAAAGGGGCTCGCGAGACATATGCTACATCACGGTTGGTTAGAGGCTTCCCAGGAGCGGACTACTGGCGGGTCAACGGCGCGCACTACGGGCGAACCAGGTGGGGTTAAGCGGAGAGGTTAACTTTTGCTTGCTTATCTCTTGATGTCTCGTCAAGGTTGACCAGATCAACAACTGGGCTCGCAATTGAGACTCTGTTTCAAATCGCGGTTGGTCAGAAGCTTGGAGCGGAACATTGGCAGGTCAATGGCACGCACGACGGGCGCACCAGGTAGGACTAGCTGGAGACGTTATGTTTTGCTTGCTTATCTCTTGATATCTCGTTAACGATGGCCAAGATCCAGATCGAGCTTGCACGTAGAGGGTTGTTCCTAACCACGGTCGGTTAGAAGCTCTCCAGGAGCGGAGTAATGGCGGGTGAACGGCACGCACTATGGGCGCACCAGGTCGGGTTAAGCGGAGAGATTATCTTCTGCTGGTTCTTGGTTTGACAGGCTTCGTTTTGTCTAAGCAGGATGTTAAAAGGATCTGCACGTGAGAAAATGTTCCTTATCACAGTTGGTCAGAAGCTTTCCAGGAGCGGACCACTAGCGTGTAGAGTGGCACGCATGGTGTGTCCACCAGGCAGGTTTAACGGTTCTGGTCAACGCTAACGGTTTTGACCTGGACTCCAAGTTTTGGCTAATTGAACACAAGTTTCTGAATCAAAGACCACTGGCGGTGAACGGACGCACTACTGGCAAAGAAGGTGAGTGAAGGTTTGGATACATGCCAAGAAATACTGCTTCGTCACTGTTACTTATAAACCTCGGTTTCAAGACTGGGGACCACCGAAGAACACCGCATCTGCAGGTCGACTTGACGATAGAGGGTTTAACGCCCTGAATGACGGGAACGACGCCGTCGGAGTACTCAACGTTATGATCTTCGATGTTCAGTACCTTCTTCGTGACAAGCTTTGAACGAGGCACCAACATCTAGCAGGTTTGATAAAACGGCTCTCAGTGTTAGGTTTGCGAACGAAGGCGTCGTATCGAGTGCCGGCTCGATTACTTCAGGCCCCGTACATTTGTTGATTGTCCGGTCTTCGTGAAAGTCTTGGAGAAGGCGAAAGTTGATAGATTGTCCTCGCTTGGGCACGGGTACACGTAGCGCTTGAGCTATCCTTAGCAAAGCTGGCGATTACCCCGGTTCAGCAGTGAGTGTCTCTGGCAGGTAATTACCCTTAAAAGGAGCGGTAATGTCATACATGTATGGCCGGGGAATTGAATACAGCGGTAACGGCTGTGTCTAAATGCTGATGCACTCATCCGTCGCAGCGAGGCTTGGCTTGTCAACATGGACAAGAATATGCCGCAAGTACGGAAGATCTTCGCGGAGGTGTACGGAAAGGACCAGGTGAGGCGACACGAGTTCGGAAGACATGCTTTTGGCTAACATCAGACGCTGGTCGGCACTCTCTCTGCGTGATTGGAACCTGTCTTTAATATTGCCTTATGGTTCCGCTATGTTGCAATCTTGGTTAGCACGTCTGAGAATTTCAAAAGAACATGGTACATATTTTAGGCCTGAGAGTTTTCTAGTCCGTTTGCGTCGAAAGTCCGTTGGGTCGCTCAGATTTTACTGAAGATCGATCGTAGAAATGGCCCTTTAGTTGCGTGCAGGCCGGTCCAACATCTGACAAAGCTGCAAGCCAGGACGCATATTTCGTCGTTTTTGACGTATCCAGTAGCCCTTCGCTCACAAGTCTAAGCTAGACGTAATCCTTCAAAGCTTCGTGGATTGCTAATGGAGCGGCGGTGAATCGTTTGACGTCTGCTGGTGTCACTATCCAGGATTTTAATGACTCCCTCGACTTGTATCTGCAGGTCACGAAGTGGGTCGTCTATTGGCGGACATTCTACATCGCCGTGGCTGAGCTGTTCAATTACAAGAACGGAGAGGAGTGGATCGTCTCACATTATCTTTTCAAGAAGAGAGCGGTTTCTGGCCCTGCCCCGTCTCAGAGTAGCCAGCATTGATTCTTTCCGAGGGACCTTGTGCTCTAACTTATTTGCCTTGACTGGAAAAAGTGAATAGTCACCTTGCAGGCTTCCAACAAAGATGAGATTCCGTGCTTACCACAGGAGCTTAAGAGGATAGGCACAGGCAAATACCAGTTATGTATACGACAATGATTGACAATGATTTGGAGATTGTGATTGAAGTGTCCTGGATGTTATGCGTTGCAAAGTTGTTCAACGGTTGAACGAGGTAGAACCTGTCAGTGTACCAACCTTCAATCGGAGGGGATGGAAGCAGTGCTGAAAACGATTGCTCGCACAACAGGGTGCATTTGAGTGCAGACTGTCTCGTTCATCAGTAGCTCTAGGCTCAGAAGCAAATCAAGGATCTTTGAACTGCATGGAGAGTAATTCGCTCCCCAACCGATGTCAGAGTAAGGATTGATGCAGGCCGCCGCGCGTATACCGCATTCAATGGACGTGCCCCATCAGTAACGACGATCCTCAACGTAGAATTCATCAGTGGCATGTTGGGCATGCATGCATGCAAGTGCAGTTGCTGTTGCAGCGCGCTCATGTCTGCAAC